AATTAAAAATTTCAAAAATTTATTTGTGCCAATTTAAACTCATTTTTCTGAAAAACTATAGACGCTATAAAAAAATAAAAAATACCGTCAAAATCTACAAATAATTTTCTATTGAACACTGAAAACTGCAAATCTATTCCTGTGCTAACTTTTTCTTCAAATAAGTTTAAAATTTGATACTTCAAAATTTATGATTGAAATCACTTAAATTGGTTTTGTTTTAATAACTTTGCAATTATTAGTCGCAGTTTTTTTTTTAATTTAGCACCAATAGAAAGCTTTATTGATTTCTCATTTAATGAAAAAAAAAATCGTTGCTTTATGTAGCTTGAATCTCAAGAAATTTGAAACAATTTTATCACAATTAAAGATTCGAGAAAATTATTTGTGCAAATTTGAACTTATTTTTCCGGAAAACTATAGACGCTATAAAAAAAACTGAAAATACCGTCAAAATTTGCAAAACATTGTCTATTAAACACTAAAAATTGCTAATTGATTCCTGCTATAAATTTTTCTGCAAATAAGTTTAAAATTTGATACTTCAAAATTTATGATTGCAGACATACTCAAATTGGTTTTGTAGTAATAATTTCGCAATTATTAGTTGTAGCTTTTTTAATTTAGTACCATTGGAAAACTCTATTAATTTCCCATTTTACGAAAAAAAATCCTTGTTTTGCAATGCTTGAATCTTGAGAAATTTGAAGCAATTTTATCGGAATCAAAAATTCCAAAAATTTATTTATGCAAATTTAAACTCATTTTTCTGAAAAACTATAGATGCTATAGAAAAACTAAAAATACCGTCAAAATCTGCAAATAATTGTCTATTAAACACTAAAACTACAAATCTATTCATGTAATAACTTTTTCTTCAAATAAGTTTAAAATTTGATACTTCAAAATTTATGATTGAAAACACTCAAATTGATTTTGTTCAATAACTCTGCAATTATTAGTCGCAGCTTTTTTAATTTAGCACCGTTAGAAAGGTTTATTGATTTCTTATTTAACTAAAAAAAATCGTTGCTTTATGATGCTTAAATCTCGAGAACTTTGAAGCAATTTTATCACAATTAAAAATTCGAAAAAATTATTTGTGCAAATTTGAACTTATTTTTCTAGAAAACTATAGACGCTATAATCAAACTAAAAATACCGTCAAAATTTGCAAAACATTGTCTATTAAACACTAAAAACTGCAAATTAATTGATTCCTGCTATATTTTTTTCTTCAAATAAGTTTAAAATTTGATATTTCAAAATTTATGATTGAAGACACTCAAATTGGTTTTATTTCAATAACTCTGGAATTATTAGTCTTAGCTTCTTTAATTTAGCACCGTTAAAAAGCTTTATTAATTTCTCATTTATTAAAAAAAATCGTTGGTTTATATTAATTGAATCTCGAAAAATTTGAAGCAATTTTTTCACAATTCAAAAAAATTCGAAAAAAATTTGTGAAAATTTGAACTAATTTTCCTGGAAAACTATAAGCCCTAGACAAAAACTGAAAATACCTTCAAAAACTACAAACAATTGTCTATTAAGCAATAAAAACTGCAAATCTGTTCCTGTGATAACTTTTTTCTCAGATAAGACTAAAATTTGATACTTCAAAACACTCACATTAGTTTTGTATGGTTGAAAACCTCTGTTAATTTTTTATTAAATGAAAAGAGAAATGAAAAAAAGAAACTTGAAGCAATTTTATCACAATTAAACAATCGAAAAAATTATTTGTGCAAATTTGAACTTATTTTTCTGGAAAAACTATGTCTTATACAAAAACTGAAAATACCAACAAAAACTACAAATAATTGTTTATTAAACACTAAAAACTGCGAATCAATTTCTACTATAACTTTTTCCTCAGATAAGTTAAAAATTTGATACTTCAAAATTTTTATATTCAAGATCTTCAGCGATAGCTTTGTAACCATTAATCACAGTTTGTAAAGCTCACTTTATTTCCTATTTATTGAAAAAAAATCATTGCTTTACATTCTGTAATCGCCGAGAAAATTAAAAAAATTATCGTTTATAAAAAACGATTTTCTCGTAAACTTTTAACCTCACAAAACCCGAAATTCAATCATTTAATGAATAAACTTACCTTTTTTAATCAACCTCTAAAAACCAACAAAGCGAAACTAATTACATTGCTCCGAATTTGGAAACAGCAATTAAAACAAGACTGTTACCACATAAGGGGTGCAATTCATATTAATAACTCGCAACCCCACAATTAAAATATCGATTTGAAAATAATTTTTTCATGATATGTAGAATCCCATTTAGTCTTGTTTCAGCCTCGGGACAAGCAAAATGCGTTTCACGATCAAAGTAACAAAAAAAAAATGTAATTCAAATAATTTCACAATTTTTAAGGATTATGATCTTCGCAATACCTTTGATACCGAACGAAATCTCTTAACCCTTTCAGGATTTTACCCTCGAAGGACCCAAAAACACAATTTTCTCTACACCACAAGTGCCCTTTTCAACTTACTCGTCTCCTATGGGCAATTATTCTCAATGGTTGCCCAAATGGTAATCGACAGAAACGAGCTTTCGAAATTCAGCGAAACTCTCTTATTTTTCATGACACATTTCACGTTTTTGTGCAAACTCACCAATTTCGTCTACAACAAGAGGAAAATGTTCGAAATTGAGGACAATCTCGCCAAGGGCATTTTCTACGGCTTTGAAATCGACAAAATCAAACCCAAAATCGAATCATGCAAATTCGTTGCTAAAATTTTTCGAATTTTGTGCATTTGGGTGATTTTGTTGTACACAATGGTACCATTTTTGGACGATAAGGAGGATTTAAGTCTACCATTACCAGGCTGGGTGCCCTATGACACGAAAAAGTTCTATTACCCAACTGCAATTTTTCAAATAATTAGCGTTTCTGTTAGTGCTTATAATAATTCAACTATTGATATTTTGACCTGTATGTTGATTACGGTGGCTTCTGCTCAGTTTAATTTACTCAAAGAGGCCTTAAAAAGGATGGATTTTAGACCAGAAGGGCACAACACGAAAAAATTAATTGAGGCAAAATTCGAAAATTGTGTCAATCATCACAAGGAAATTGTCAAGTGAGGTGACCAAATTTTGGTTTTTTTATTTTTTTTTTTTTAAGGTTTGCGTACCAAATTGAGGATATTTTCTCCAAAGGGATATTTTTGCAATTCTTTGCCAGTCTTATCGTTATTTGTTTCACCGGATTTCAGATGATTGTTGCAAGTTTTTATTGAAATTGAAAATAATAAAAAAAAATATTTTTTATTTTTAGGTGCCAATCCCAAGTGTGCAATTTATTTTTTTAATTATTTATTTCTCATGTATGATGTGTCAAGTTGCAATGTATTGCTGGTACGGTCATGATATTATAACAACGGTATTTGGAAAAATTAAAATTAAAAGTTTTTTTTCGAATTTTTTTTAGAGTGATTCAATTGGGCAAGCTTTCTATATGTCTAATTGGTACGAGTCTGATGTTAAAGTGCGCAAAAATATTTGTATTTTTTTGGAAAGGGCCAAAAAACCGGTCATTTTAACAGCATGGAAATTTGTTACTCTGTCACTGACTACGTTTACAACCGTGAGTATTTTTTAATTTTTTTCAGAAACTATGCCTCTGAGTCAATTCCGGTTTTCACCATTTGATAGAAAATTGCTCGTAGAATCCAACGATGTTTTTATGTGTGTTGTAGGACTTGTAGTTTCTGAGAAAAACTCGTTCAAAGTTGTGGAAATATTTTTTGTGTTTTTTTCATTTTTTTTAGAAATTTTAAATTAATAAACAAAATTAAGCCTAAAGTTACGTTCTTTAACGTAAAACTACATAAAACTAAGGCTATTACAAGTTAA